GAGGAAGTAATTGTAGATGTGGTAGAAATAGAAGAGAACTAGAATTAGAGGTGGAGCCTAAAGATGTGACTGAATCACTGCAATTTCATAAAACGTCAATGGAGGATGAAGAGTTGTTTCTTATGCATGAGCAAAGAAGTGATTTCTTGACATAGAAACTACTCCTTGTGAAGATGCTGTGAACATTGTTGAAATGACAACAAGGGATTTAGAATATTCTACAAACTTAGTTGATAAAGCAGCAGCAAGTTTAGAGGATTGACTCCGATTTTGAAAGAAGTTGTACTGTGGATAAAATGCTATCAAAAGTATTGCATGCTATAGAGAAATCTTTAATGAAGGGCAAAGTCAATTCATGTGGCAAACTTTATTATTGTCTTATTTTAAGAAATTTCCCCAGGCACCCCACCCTTCAGCAACCACCACCTTGATCAGTTAGCCATCATCAATGCTGAGACAATACCATCCACTGGCAAAAAAGGTATTACTCACTGAAGGCTCAGATGATTGTTAGTATTTCTTTTAGCAATAAGCATTTTTATTAAGCCATATACATTGCTTTATACAATGCTATTGCACACTTAATAGACTATAGCATATGATAAACATAACTTTTATATGCATAAGGCAACAAAAATTTGTGTAATTTGCTTTATTGTGATATTCACTTTATTTTGGTGGTCTTGAACCATATCCACAATATCTCTGAGGTATACCTCTATTTGTAATTTCACCTATTTTGAAAGGCCTTCAACAAATGAGAACTGTTACAAATAACATCACATATCTGAACCCCTATTAAATTATAATGATTACCTTGACCAGTCTAGATCAAGAAAGTAAACCTGTGACTTTGTGAATCATGACACAAAGTTGTCTCCTAGGGTAGATGTACATTAGTGTGGATACCAGGGTATGCTCCTCAGTTCCATATGTAAGATGCTCAATTTGGTCAGATACTTAAATGATACCAATCTCTCAGAGAGTAGCCTATAGCAGTATAATGCAAAAGGGATCAATGTATAAATCCGAGTGTTAGCTTTTTTTTTTTTTCAATAATCATAACCATCAAAAAGACTGCAGCACATAGGATAATGATTACTGAGTTTCCTCCATAATTATAAGGTATACTGGATCATATAATTATGAGGAGATATGGGTCAACACGTAATGAGAAAAACTGGGATTTTGTTTGAGTGATTTTCATAGATTTTTGTCATGGCACTTTTGTGGCTTAATGCATCTATCACTACAGGGATAGATCTGGCTAGGGGACTGGAATGTTCACATCCATTGGCTAGAACGTATTTTATGTTGGGTAGGTTTGTAATACCAGTTTCAATTTGTACTCTCTGATTCCTGTTTTCTGTGTTTCAAATTGATCATGCCTCATCATTCAACTCATTTTTTTAGATACACTTAGGCTATCTAATAGGTTACAGACAAGGTTTGTTCTTCTTGGCTTTAGATTAAAAGACATTTTTGTTCAGTATAAGTTTTGCACATGTATTATCACATCTACACTGTGTTGATTCTGTTAGCTTGAATCTCAGAGTTATGGGAAAAAGTGTCATTCTGGCTATAGAATTTAATGTTAAGATCATGGATTTTGTGCTTAGGCCAATAAAGGTATTAATTCTGGCTTCCCCACACACTAACTGTGGGTCTTTACAAATATTATTTCACTCTCTTAAGCCCCAATTTACTTATTTAAAAAATGGAAGTAATACTGTTACTTAACTCACATTGTTGTGATGATGATTGCATTAGATAATGCACAAAATATCCACAGGGCCTAGCACATTGTAAATGCTAAGAAGTCATTCATCATTTATTACTGTATAAAAATCTCAGAAGAAATACTTTTTATTAGCACCATTATTATTGCTTATAAGATGAATATGCAAAAGACTATAGAAAAGATAATCAGTGAGCAACTTTAGTGTTAGTTTATAGGAAATCAATTCTACCTTCACTCAATATGCAAAAAGGATTAGTGCCAATTTGGAAATTAGAGCTGGCAATATTGATAACTGCTACTCTTACACCTGAGCACCTTTTTATATGTCCAGCAAAACAGTGCAGCTCCTTCTATTTATTCAACACTTGTCAAGTTGAACCATCCAAGTATGAAAATATTATTTTCAGGGAAAGATGTTATCTGTTTATCTATATAGAGTGATAAATACATTAAGCTTTTAAACATATTTCTGAGTCACATTAGATTTTTCCATTACTAAACTAAGAAAATATTATTCACAAAATCATTTACCCTCATAATTATATCTTCCTAATATATGTTTTCATATTTCTGTATATTCCAAAATAGAAATTATATTTCATTTCTAATCAGAGACAGATGAAGCCTTTAGCACCCAGAAGGCAACATAGATCCTGGAAATATCACAAACGCCAGCACACACATGGTGTCTCCTTGATGGTATCAGATGTGTACCTCTAGCAAAGAGCATCCATGGAAATAGCTGAAAAGTAGAAGGCAGGTAGGTGGGGGACCAGATAACAGCTTCTAAAATAATAAAGGAATGAAACCACAAGAGGCAGCTGTCCTATGAATTGAGCAATACAATTCAACTGGATATGGCAGAACAGGGTGACCTGGTACAAATCTTGGCCAGCCAGCCTATAGGTAAATAATAGAAAAACATCTTTTATCAATTTCAGGTTCATTTTCCTTCTCACCGTCCTCACCTAAATCCTACCCATTGTTCAAATTCCAGTTTAAGTCTCACTTTATTTAATAGTAATATGGGAAATCACAAAAATGGTATTTACATATATGTTCTTATTTCATCTTTGCAACAACTCTTTAAGGAAGTAGATCCTCAGAAATGTTAAGAAACTTGACAAGCCATTTGTCCAAAGTAGCATTGATGAGTTTAGGCTTTGTGGAGAATAAGTTTCTTATGCAAGATCCATGTGAAAGTTTGTAGGAGGTTGGTTAGGTCAGTCTTAAGTTTGAGGGGCAAAGCACAACTAGACATAAAGTTTTGGAAACCTTTAGCAATTAATGATGATAGTTTATAGCAAGAGAATAGATGAGATCCCACAGACAGAGTCTCTGGAATAAGAGAGGTAGTCTAAGGTCTGAGGGGTCTTAGGAGAAAACTCAGGAAGACACCAATATTTAAAGTGTGAATGAAAGCACAGCAAGCAGCGTACAGAAACTAAGAAGGAGCAGATAGAAAGGAAGAAAATCAGCAGAGTTTGGTGTCACAGAAGAGGGGACTGAATTTCAAAAAGGTATCAGTTAAAAAAGTCAAAAGTTACAGAAAGGTCAAGTTAGAAGAAACTTGCATTATTGAGTGGGGGCAAGGAGTGGGGAAAGAAATTTGAACATGCTCATACTGTGATGGGGAAGGAGACAATGAAGGGGAAGGGGCTGAAACAGAGAAGAGAATGGAGAGCTATGAATGGATTGAACTCCCTGAGGAGATGGGAGAGGCTGGTATCCAAAGCACAGGAGAATAATTTAGTTTTAAAGTTGAGAAGAGAAAAATCCTTCCCGTGAGAGGGAGTGAGGCAAGAACTATGCAAGAGGCTTAAGGACAATGTGGCTACTGAAAGGCCTAAGGAAAGGAACTGAGCAAACAGCAGCCTTCCTTCCCCCACGCTATAATAGAAACATCTCTTCATATGGCTTTTGGTCTCCTCTGAAAGCCCTCAAACATCTGAGATCCAACATCTTCACTAGGATTCGCTTTCTCACACACGTTCACACACATTGTCTCATCATTCATCAGAGCATTCCATTGCAGGATGCTGAGAAAACAAAAATATCTTTAGCAGTCTGAACCATGTGAGCTGTATAGTCCCAGAGAGACATAAGTATGGGACTTTAATCATAGCCTCTTTATCCATGTCTGTGGGCAATTATTTAAAGTCATTTTGTTTTTGACAAGTTGTCTTACCCATTATCTTTATGTTTTTAAAATTTATAATACAAATAATATGTAGCTAATTGATAGTTTATGCTCTTTTAATGTCATTTTTAAATAAATAATTTGGGATCTCTCTTTTAAAAAATACTTGTAACTGTCAATTGGAATATATATTTAGGACAACTTAAATTGATACTCTGACATCGTAATTCTCAAACTTGGCCCAAATAAACTCACTACTTACATAAACTTTGCTTCAGTTTCTTCCTTTCAGGTTGACCAAGCTAAGTTCTGAAATGTCTTTTCCTCCTTTTCACTGACTCAGGTCATGTATCCTAGTAGTGGCCTCCTGTTTTTGACAGCCTTTTGTCTTCCCAGAACATCTTGGTCTGGCTTCCCTTTCCATCTTATCCACTCAGTCATGGTAGTAGTGTTGTGTGTGTGTGTGTGTGTGTGTGTGTGTGTGTGTGTGTGTGTGTGTGTCCCTGGTTAGACTTCACCTGTGGTTTGAATCTTGTAATCCCTTTAAAACTGCCAACCTCTCATCTCACTCATGTACAGGGTATACAACTGTACCTGGTTCCCATTGTTGCCCCAACAAGGGCATCTACTCCACCAGCTTGTACCCTATTCACTTTCCTGAACTGGGAGCCCTGCAACTTTATTCTTTGCCATCTACACCTCCATCCCCCTACTCCTCCAGTACCCACAATCCTACCCTGCCCTTACCCCTCCCTCTCTGGGTTCACTACAGTTCCCAGCTCAGCCACCTGGTGATTCTCCACATGGGGGCGCGGTGCCGTGACAAAGGAAGCTGGTCCCAGCAGGCCTTGCGGCATGACTCAGCTTTCCTCTGCGGTGTGTTGCAGAATCGCCTCGGGGTTTGGCGTGGTGACACGGGGCCTGCTTCGCTCTTTGTGAGAACAAGGGAGTGAGGGAGGAAGGAGGCCGAGGAGGAGGCCAGGACTGAGCAAGGACTAAAGTAAGACTGAGAGGGCAGGGGAGGGACGGACTGGTTGGCGGCAGCAGCCGGTACTGGAAGCGGCGGCCGCAGCGGAGGCAACGCTCGTGAGGCAGCTGCTTGACTAGGCCGCAGCCGCCATGGCAATAAACTTTGCGTACCACGCCAGCGGGTTCCGCCACAATGATGTGATCAGATTCATTAATGATGAAGTCCACATGAATGGGGGCGGCCCAGCCTTTTACGTGGCCTTCCGCTCGCGGCCGTGGAACGAGATAGAGGACCAGCTTCGGGCCATTGTGGCCGACCCGAACATGCCGCGGTCCGTTAAGAGGGCCTGCACTTGGAGCGCGTTGGCTTTGAGTGTGCGAGCGGCCGTGAGGCAGCGGGAGCAGCTGCTATACCAGGTTCGGCGGCTGCAAGGGCATGTGGAGGAGCGCCAGGCGGCCTCCTGGGCTCTGACCTCCCAGCTGGAGCAGCTGCGCCTGGAGCGTGAGGCGGCGACAACGCAGCTGCGCTTCACGCAGTCCGCTTTGCAGCAGGCGCTGAATGAGCGTGATGGGCTGTACGGGAGGCTGCGCGAAGTTGAGAGATCCATGCAGGTCTATCCGATGCCTCAGAATTTTGTACCTGGTCCAGGAGCTGGCCAGTATGCACCTGTGGCCTGTTGTTTAAATGCAGAACAGAGAGAGGCAGTGGCCACAGAGGCCCAGGGAATGCCACATTCAGAAGCCCAGAGAGCAGCCCCAACAGCTGTGTTTTACATGCCCGAAGCCCAGAGTGGCTGGATCCAGGGCATGCAACCCCTTCTGCCAATGCAGCCCCCACATCCAGTCCCATTCTATGTGCCTTCACCAATGGGACTGTCAGACTCAACACTTCTACCACCCCCGGTAGTAATGGAATCAGCAGCAGCAGTTGCACCACAGATGCCTCCTTCAGGGACTTATCCACCTGGTCTCTGGGCCACAGTGGGGTCCCAGGAAGAGATGACCCCTCTGTGGGACCAGAGGTGCTATGGCCAGGATGGATATCCTGAGAATTTCCAGTGGGTATATCACCCAGGGGATAACAGAAGCCACTACCAAAAGGAAAGTTCTGAGTGTCCCCAGGGAATGACCTCCCAGGGGGACAGAAGCAGCCACAGCCTGCAGAAAGATCCAGTGATGCACCAGGGTGCAGCTCCTCAAGAGTTTAGCAAGAGCCACAGCCTGAAGAAAGAACCAGAGAGGTCCAAGGAGATGGTCCCCCTGGGGGACAGCAGCAGCCAAAGCCTGAAGAAAGATCCAGTGATGCCCACGGAGATGGTCCCCCTAGGGGACAGCAACAGCCACAGCCTGAACAAAGATCCAGTGATTCCCCAGGGGGAGATGGTCCCCCTAGGGGACAGCAACAGCCACAGCCTGAACAAAGATCCAGTGATTCCCCAGGGGGAGATGGTCCCCCTAGGGGACAGCAACAGCCACAGCCTGAAGAAAGATACAGTGATTCCCCAGGGGGAGATGGTCCCCCTAGGGGACAGCAACAGCCACAGCCTGAAGAAAGATACAGTGATTCCCCAGGGGGAGATGGTCCCCCTAGGGGACAGCAACAGCCACAGCCTGAAAAAAGATCAAGTGATTCCCCAGGGGGAGATGGTCCCCCTAGGGGACAGCAACAGCCACAGCCTGAAGAAAGATCCAGTGATTCCCCAGGGCACAGCCCCCCTGAGGTTTAGCAACAACCAGATAGAAGATCAAGAGAGGCTCCAGGAAACCCTTCCAGAGGATAGCAAGAGCCATGATTTGAAAAATAGCCCATGGAAACACCACCAGCCTCAGGGCCAGAAGGTGAAGCAACCAAAAAGGGAAAAGGCCTCAGAATCCCAGCAACGAAAGCCTGCCTCATGTGCCCGCCGAGTGAGGTGGGACTGCCCATGGTGTAATGCCTCGAATTTTCCACGGCGCAAGGCCTGCTATAAATGCAAGAGAGCCCGTATGCCAGTTGAGAATGGCAGCATTGACCCAGAATAAACTCACTGATTTCACGAAGGTAAGATGGATGCACTCCAAAGAGAAACCAATTTCCCAGGACTCCCTTCTGATAAAAAAAAAAAAAAAAAAGTTACTTATTTACTTAACAGAAAATTTGAAACCAAAATTATAGAGAAAATTAGATAAAATAATCTGTTATTCTATTAACCATATTAAGTACTTTTTATCATTGTGAGTATACATACATACAAATACATATTTTCTTATTTTATTCATTTATTTATTTGAATAAAGACTACTGAGTATCACATTCAGCCTTTAATTAGGGGATTTCTCCTAATTGCATTCAAGTTTTTCAGGTGCTAGATTCTGGTTTGCTGATACTAATTTGTTAATTTGTTGACACCCTGGAGAAGCTGAAGTTATAAAGCCTGTTTTAAATAAACCATTTTCTGTTTTTCCTCAACCTCCTTTTCCTGAAAATGCCATGTATTTGGCTCGAGCAGCCATGTGATTTTAGAGTTACAGGCTATGTTATATTATAGAAATTCCACTTTTCCTTGCAAGTGCTATCATTATTTTGAAACTACTGCAGTGTTGATCTGCTTTTTGTTTTATTAGTTTTACAGATGAATTCCTGTTTTGCATCTTAGCCCCACCAAACTTGCTTGTTTCTGAAGAAGCTGAACCTACGACATTAGAAGATCACCAAAGGCAAAAGAAGTAACATCTCAATTCTGATGGACCCACACCTTGCTGAGACCCCAACTGTTTGCAGCCAAGAAGAATCAGAGGAAGTCAGGGAAGAAGAGATAATTTTACACTTCCTTTCTCCTAAGGGGGAAAAGGAAGAACAAAATAGATTCTTTTAGAGTTGAAGTGTTTTCCTTGGTATGGGAAATAACTTGGAAAAGTTTGGGGGGGTTGTAGTGTTAAATTCTGTAGATGATAGAAACTTTGAAAGTTTAGGGGAAGAGTTTAGGGGGTTGTAGTGTTAAATTCTATAGATGACAGGAACTATGATTACTTTCATTTAATTCATTAAAGAAAGTTATTGTCTAGTACGTGTTGGGAGCTAGACTTACTGTTATTATCTAGTACACCCAGCATAATCCTATTTTGTGAGTTTAAGACAGGAAAGAACATAATTTGGCGTACAAATTAGATCAGGAGTGTCTTCTTTGCCTTGCATATCACGTGACCTTGGATAAAACCAATTGAAGTAACATCTGGATTCATTTTTGTGGTTCTGGGGCCAATGCGAGAGACTTTCATGAAAGGTTTCTTGTTTTGTTTTTGTTAGTTTCTTTTTAGAGATGTGGTCTCGCTTTGTCACTGAGGCTGGAGTGGAGTGGCGTTATCATCAGAGCTCACTGCAGCCTCAAACTCCTGGGCTCAAATGATCCTCTGACTTCAGCCTCCTAAGTGGCTGTGAGCCACCATGCTTGGCTCTTATGAAAGGTCTTGAGTAACCAAACTGCTCATCTCATTGGTCCCAAGTAAGACAAATGAGCAGCAACAAAGTTTGGAAAAGTGTCCTCACAGAACTGCAGGCAGAGCTTTTCTGATTTCCTCTTCTGAGAGGGATGACTATTTTCCTGGTTGCCCACCAGCCTGCCTGAAAGACCTGGGGTGTCTTGAAGAAAAACAATGCTTTGGGGCGTGTTCACTATACACACTAGCTTTGAGCCTCGGGCTGCCCCATCCCAAGTCCCTTTTCAGTCAACAGCAGATGAAGAACAAAATAGATTCCAAAGACAAACATTGGGGGCACGAGGTTATGGATGGTGTTTCTCTTGGGAGGATAAATCGGGTTAAAAACAGAGCTAGACTGGGGCAAGTACTCTTGAGAATAGCCCAGGACCCCTCTTCTCTACATTTTTGGTATGTTCTCTGTAGGCTTGCCTAAGGCAACTGCTGCAAGGCAAGGGAGGAGCCAGAATGGAGCCCAGGGTGGTTGGTTAGATTTGCCTTCAGTCCAAGCTAAAGATGTCCTTGAGTTTCCCAATGAGATCCCACCCAGTTCACCAAAATCAATGTTTGTAAGGGTTTTTCTGGTCCTAACTAGTAATAAAGAGTATTCGCTTGACTGCTGTGTCTTCCGTGTAGTGTGTATCTCAGGGTAGGTTTGCTTAGAGGCGGCATCTTAAATCTGCATTTGCCCTTCGTCTCACTGAAGAAAAGTTCCATCTCATTCACTATTGGAGGGCATCTCCTCTCCTAAGGAGTTACCCAAGAATGGGGACAAGGTACTATGTGGACTTAGACAATGTATTGATTGTGATTTTCCCCCCTACGCTCATTGTCTTAAGTCTACATAGTACCTTGAAGGTGGGCACTTCTGCTGCTCTGGGGCCAGTGGGAGATGGGAATGTCTACTGATGGTGGAACTCTTGATGCCTAGGGTCCAGCCTCCTTATGTGCACCATGTAGCCATTCTCTGTGGGGCCCTACCTTCTTTCTGGGGTCTTTGCATAGAGTAAGAGGTGCTTAGGTATCACGAGCAGTAATCTCTTTCTTTTCTTTCTTTTCTCTAAGTCACTCCTCTGTCAGCATAATTCTGTCAAGATGTTCAGGATTAAAGAAAACCAAATACAGGCTGGAAGCATAAACATCCCCTGAGATAAGGGAGGGGAAAGATCTGGACATCTTGGAATGAGTATGGTGAGATAAGAGGTGAACAACAAAAATAATCTTACCATACCATAAACTTTTCTCAGAGATGTGACAAACGGGAAGGGCTTTGTTTACCTGGGACAAGAATACAAGAAAAGAAGGCGGCTGTCAGGGAACAAACACCCAAACTTTTGTTGGGGAGGAGGACAGATGCTATAATATTTTGTATACCCTAATGGCCCCTGTATGTTTGGAAATATGGATATGTGCAGGTATTTTTTTCCTCGGGTCGAAATTTAGTGCTGGTATGACAGAGGAGGAAGAGTAGAAATTGTAGTTGTGGAGGAAGAGGGGAAGGATTCCAGGTTCTGCCAGTAGTGATGGTAGGAGTGGGCCTGGTGCCATTGCCTTGCAAGCACTTCGGGAGGTGGTGGTGATAGAGGAGGAATATGGGTATTGCTCTGAGGAAGGGAATGCAGGGGAAGTGGGAAGAATCCTATTAGAGTCTTTGAGGGCCTCAGAACAAGAGAAGCAAGATTTTCTCTTACTGCTCACCCATTCCTTCACTTCTTCATACACGCCTAGTGGAGCCTAGGCAGGAGCAGCATTGCCTTCAAGCTCCCATGTCCATTTCTTTCTTTTTTTTTTTTTTTTTTTTTTTTGAGACGGAGTTTTGCTCTTGTTACCCAGGCTGGAGTGCAATAGCGCGATCTTGGCTCACCACAACCTCCACCTCCTGGGTTCAGACAATTCTCCTGCCTCAGCCTCCTGAGTAGCTGGGATTACAGGCACGTGCCACCATGCCCAGCTAATTTTTTGTATTTTTAGTAGAGACGGGGTTTCATCATGTTGACCAGGATGGTCTCGATCTCTTGACCTCGTGATCCACCCGCCTCGGCCTCCCAAAGTGCTGGGATTACAGGCTTGAGCCACCGCGCCCGGCCCTTCCCATGTCCATTTCTACCCTTTATTATAAAAGCAGAATCAAAAGAAGCAGCTAGAATAAGGGCATGTCCTGTGAGACATCGGTTGACAGGTGTAAAATGTAGAAAATGCTTCTCCACTTACCTCGGACTCCCAAAGTGCTGGGATTACAGGTGTGAGCCACTGCAGCGGGCCTAAAAAGCACTTTTGAAGGAACTGTGGAGTTTTTCCTCAAACTGCTCAACCCTGCAAGTCAGACTGGTCCCAGCACCCCTACCAGACAGCTACAGTCAATGCTAGGGGTCCAAGTGCCTCCGGAAGACTCCCCCCAGCTTTCCCCTGGAAGTGGGGTGGGGCCAGCAGAGAATTCTAGGGGTGACACTCACAGTCCAGGAGCCTTCTGGTGCCCAGAGGGTAGAGGAAGAGTGGAAGTCTGGGGGTGCTCAGTCCCACTGTGTCCTGGACAGGATGGGCTGACTTGCAGGCTGGTCCCCATGGATGCTCAGAAGGAAAATGTACAACAGCAGGTCAGGAAGGGAAACCAAGTAAGGGAAGGGCCCGAGCAAGGGCTAGTGGTCCACTCTCAGCAGCACCCGGTAGCACTTTGCTTCATGTGGCACTGCTTGCAGAAGAGACAGTTGTCCGGGGGTAGCAGCCTTGGTCCTTAGGCTCCACAGACAGGAAGATCTTGCAGTCCTCACATCTGTAACAATTTTCCTGGAAGTTTTTTTCCCATGCACTTGATTTTGAAGGCATCTTTAACATCCCAAGAAATAATGGGACTCTCACAGATGCTGCATACTAGGGCAAATTTTCTGCAGAAGTCATCCAGGCAGTACACCTTGTTCTGGCTTCCCAGGGCAAAGCTCTCATTCTCAATGCACCGGGCAGAGGTCACACACATGAAGCAGGAGGGGTCGAAGGCTAGGCCCAGGGTCCTGATGAAGTGCTCCCAGACCACCTCCCCACACTTGCCACACTTCTCCAGTGTGTCCTGGTAGCAGGGTTCGCAGAGGACTCGCCCATCCTTCTAGTAGAAGCTCTGCCCAGCCAGCTGGCAGCTACAGGTGTGGCACGTGAAGCACCGCAGATGGTTTTGCTTCTTCACGGCCACCACAGCCAGCTCTCCGGGGGAACATGGTTTTGTGGCAGAAGGCACAGATGTCTGTGGATGCCGCTCTCTCAACAGGCTCTGCTGGGGAAAGCGGAAGCTCTTCCTCCACCAGCCTGAGGGAACTAGAACCAGTCTGGACTGGGGCCCAGGTGGGAGTGGGGTCAGGGGCAGGTGTGGCTGCTCTACGTCTGCAATGAGGGAGGCTCCTATTAGAGCAGGTGCCTCCTCTTCAGAAGGCAGGAGCACCTGAGGGGGTGGTGGATGGGGCAGGAGGAAGTCCAGGTCAGGAAGCCCGCCCTCGTCATCCAGAACAGGAGGAGAGGGTGAACATCCTCCATTTGAGAGCTGCAGAGGTGCCGCTGGCAGTGTGGCTGCAGCCCTGCTA